TTCGAAAGCACTCGCCAGGGAGTGGGCCGACAAGTTCGACCATGCCACGAGGCCATTCTAGTTCCCGCTGCTTGCTGGAGCTGGAACTGATGACTGATGCCCTCGCGGCCCTCACGACACGCAGGGAACCGTTCTGGTGTCGCTGGACGCCACGCCACGGATGGGGCAGCTTTGCGTGTCGCCGAGAATAATATACCCAGAGCTTGCTTCCGGGCGCCAGTGTCGGCTTGTCGTGCTTGGCATTGAGGTTGGTGGCCTTCTGGCCGTTGAGGTTGTCAAGCTCCTTACTCGAAATCGTGCACGTGCCGCTCCTCCTTCGTCGCGGGCGGGCTGCCCTTTTGCCTTTGTGCGCTACCGGCTTGCAGCCGCATAAACATCTGCAGCCAGCCTCCTATCCCTTCCCCTGTCCGGCACCGCCAACGTTGATGGAAAACGACATCCTTGCTGACTCTTCCGAGCAGCCCCCTTTGCCAGCTGCAGGCCGTAGTCTGCTTTGGTTATAGGCCCTATAGGCAAGTGCAACACAATTGCGGTTCACCACAAGGGGCCGCTCTGGGTAGGTAGCAAGCTTTCGGCGCTCAGCCACCCGCAATGCGGCTGTATCGACAACCGCTGCCCCATCGTTGCGTGTCGCATTGCACAACGAGGTCAAGCCGGCGCGATCTTCCGCTCCAACTCCCGGGTGGTGGTGTGTGCCAGCCACTGTTGCGGAACGGCACTGTAGCGCCTCTCTGGCGATTCTAGCGACATGACAGCAATTGCTGCCGAATCTGGCTTCGAGTTGGAGGTTCTTATTCGCAGCCCGCTCTGCAGTGCCAACGCATTGGGCCTGTCGGGAGGCCAGCCCACAACGAGCAGCAGCTGAGCTTCCAAGCGCTGTGGCCGAGACCGGGGCTGTCCTGTCATCACAGGTGTTGGTCGGGACTGCTACCAGGCTACCAGCTTCATGACTAAACGTAAACGCCGTCAATGTTGATGGGGACCCGCCATTGCTCAGCGATGCATGTGCGGACATCACAGCCGTGTTGCACAAAAACGGAGCGCGTGGGTCTGGTGGTGATGCTTTTCACCCGATGTTGTGCGCCAGTACAAGTTCCTGCCCAGATGAATGCTTGGCACACTTTCCGGCCCGGTGCGGGGTTCCAACGCACACTTGAATTTGTCCATGCCGAAAACATCAGCATCCACAACGCCCAGTGTTACAAAATGTTTTCAGCAGCGATCATAAAATTCAACGTCCACACTCGTGCTCAAGATCGGCATGGTGCATACTTCCGGCGTTGTTAAAAAGCAGGCTATACACTGAACGAGGGTGATCGGGGGTGTATGGTGATTGAGGTTGCGTACGAACGACCCCGGCCTGAAAGCCACGGAAGACCAATCCTTCCCTGCCTATGTAAATTTAGCTGAGCGCATTGCCCTCGGCTGTGCACACGGGCAGGGAAATTAGGCAGACCGACGGAGAGTGCGAGTTCGGTTGCTTTCTGGGACGTGCTGTTCCCTGCAGATGTTGTGAAGGCAACGAGAGAACTTCAACATCAGTTTGTACCGACATTCGTTGCAAAAACTTTGGGAACGAGACTGGGGCTTCCGATTGAACCGTAGTAGCGACGATTGAAACATCAGCACAGCTGCGTAGCCACATTGACCTCAGAGTTTTGGTTGCTTTTTGCTTCTGAGGTGCTTTGCCGGATGGTTTCATCTTTCCATTCTTGGTTTAATGTTCGTATTATCAAGTGCGGCCGAGGAGCAAATGCCGGATAAACTGACACCGTGCTGGGGTCTCTTCCGTCTGCATTACTGAATTGGAAAGGATTGGACAAACATCCTTCTGTTTGCCATGGTCTGTGGCGCGTATGTGGCATGCCATGAATGATTCCGCAGCCGTGCGAGGGTTGGTAGTCACGCGAGGACAAGGGACAGTCCTGCCAGCAGCCGCCCAGCCAACCACAGCAGTCACCTCACGCAGCTGCACACTCACACTCACGCACACACGCCTACGCACTCTCACTCTCACACTCGAGCTAGCCTGTCACAGGGATTATAGCCAGCTACTACGGTGACAGGTAGTCATAATTTAGATCACGTCTAGTCGCCACGTGGTAGCATTGGAGTATGACTAGCAGCACCAGCGCAAAGTCTTATGCCATCACGTCCGCAGCCAGCCCTCACGCAGCCCACGCCAGCCAAAGCCACACCCGCAGTCCATCACAGTCCACCAGCAGCCAGCAACAGCACGTGTTTCGCTGTGCTCCCTTTCGACTGGGTTGTCCACCACAACAGCTTGTGGGCAACTGCTTTCCACGTCCGAAGCCAGGCCAGTGTCACGTGCTGTCCTCAGGTTGATCGTGTGAAAACCTACGAGCCCTGCAATCCTTCCTAACACTCCTGGCAGGCAAGCTCTCCAAGAAGATGTCGGATCCGAATCCGAATGCGCCGCCGTTCATCCCGGGGGTGCGCGAAGACGGGGATTGTTCAGCTGCATAAAGATCTGCTGATGTCAACCTGTGTGTCATAAGAGCTATCACGCACCCAACATGTTTTGGAATACTCAATTGAACTTAATTGTTCTTCAACCGTTGTTTGCCTTTGCCAGACCAGCTGGGGTGGGCTCCACCAGACGCCGGACCTGAACCCGCATCTGCACCACGAGGATGTAGGGGTAATGCAGGTATCTGAGGCCGGTATATCCGGAAACCCTGCAAAGAGATGGTGCAACAATCGCAAGGGCAGAATTGAGATCTTATTGTCAATGTTTTGCACGAGGAGGCCGTGGCAACGCTCTCCCGTGGTCCTCCAGGCTGGGTCGTCGTCGCAAGAGTTGTGGATTTGCCTATGGCTTCATTAGCATTCTAACAGATGTTCCCGCAGCTGCACAGGGGCTTGACTCCCAGCTGAACGAAGGATTCTGCACCACAACGCACCCGCGGCCAAGTCTTCGGTTCATGCAAGCTGAGATTGCATTTCAAAGTACGAAAGCACGCGAGTGAGCTTTGTTCGTCGAGGTATCCGAATTCTAGACGAGAGAGGTTTTTAAATATTTAAGCGAAAGACTAGATCTGCGTTTTTTGTGCTTATTTTGCTCTAGACGAGCGCCTCTGATGGTGGGGAGACCGCGTGCCGCCCGGCCTGCTGGGCCAGCTTAGGCCCAGAGCAGTGCAGAGCAACAGAGCTTTCTTTCATCCACGGCTTTGTGAGGACCAAGGCAATGGGCTCCGTGGAGTCTGTGGCGGACGCTGTTTCAAGCTGTACACAGTTTTCCGATCGCAGAAAGAGGGGTTCGTAGATCCGAGAAACTGTCTTTCGCAATTGCTGAGCTTTCGCCGATTCGAGGATACCATCGCTGAGCAAAGAAGAGATTCGACCGCCATGGGCTTTGGCACAGGCAGCTACTTGCTCGACACAGCTGGCATTCAAGTTTTCGTGGCCCAAGGCAAGCACGTGTGGGTGTCCCCACCCTTCACAGCCCAGCGTCCGAGGACAAGTTTGACTATGAAGATTGTCCTTTCTGCGACCTGCGCCGGCATCATTGTGTCTGGCTCCGCAGTGAAATCAAACGTCTCAAGTCAGAGGCCCGATTCTCCACATCACGGGTGTCAGTAGCGTGCAGCAGACGTTGTGTTGCCTGTTGCCTCCTCTTCGATGTATTGGAGCCCATTGACCCATGGCAGGTTGCTGCTGTTCAGACCACCATCCCGCCACGGCTTTATCCCGAGTTGCGCCAACAGCTGGAGGTGCACGTGACAGGTCTTTCGTTTCACAGTGTCAAGGCTTTGACTGGCCGAGAGCTCTGGTTACAGTGTTGTCGTACATGAAGGCCGAGCCGCTGCCACCATCAGGCTACACTGGAGGCGTTTCTGGTTAAACTTCGAAGACAGTGTGTTGCCTTCTCATTGCCTCATGCTGCAGAAAGAAATGTCATGCACCTCCAATTTAGCAATTGCCATCAAGCCTCGGCGAGGCGTGGATGACATCTCGGCCAGTAGTTGCCCTCGCTGCCCGGAACATCGCCAAGAGGTGTGCTGTAGGCCGTAGGCCGTAGGCCCAGCTCGCCAAGATGCAGGTTATTTTGTGTGAAGTCTGGAGGCTTCCTTGTGCCAGGTATTGGATCTCCAGGCAGAGGCCAACAAGTGGGATGCCGAGTGCAAGGCGCAGAGTCAAGCGCGTGCCAGAAGGTTTCAGATTTTGAGTCTTCATCATTCATGTACTGACGGACTGTAGCTAAAGCTGGGCAGGCCCGCATTGAGTCACAGCCTCAGAGGACAGTGCCGAATGTCCCAAGTGGGCGTATCCAGCCCGGAATCTGACATTGTGGCTCGTCACTGTTTCAAAGTGGACCACCGCACCGAAACACCCAAGGTTCCGAAGAGGACGTGCCAGAAAGATCGAAGACATGCTCATTGAATCTTGGCACGTTACAGAGTGAGAGGCCTGAGGTTGGGTACTTCAGATCGCATGTGGCAGAATGTGGCAGACAGAGCTCTAGACTCCAAAGATACATTTTCCTCCGGATCATGACAGCATCCCGAGACTCAGGAGAAGCGCCAAATCGAGGCAGAGGGCTGCCCTTTTGCTTCCTTCCACGCATGCCCCGCTTCTTCCACTTCACTTTCATCACGTACAGTATCCTACTGTTATGAGTTTCGTTTTGCGATTACAACTATTGTGCTCCATGATCTCCATGGACTTCAACTGTCCATTGCCAGGCACGGCTCTTCAGCACGGGCACCGGCACTGCTATGGACGACGGCCATTTCTTTGCCATCACAAGGGTGGCCTGTCACGCAGGTACTACATGTGGAGCTCCTGTAAGCGCCGCATGACTGGATGAGGTGAATCTGGCGGACGAGGATGTGATGACCACCGCTGCGGCGAGACCGCTGTAGGGCTGTCAGTCTTCTGGTACCGTTAGGTGCCATGAGTAATTTCACGACCGCTCCGTGGGCATAGCTTTACTGGGCGATTACATTTGTTTCCCATACGTGACTCTCCTTCTGTTGTGGTGGCGCTGCTTGTTGTACAGTGCCATGTCGTGCATGATCAGGAAGTTTACCACGTAAGTTTTTAGCAGCATGGTGCCAATTCTCAAGGCATCATCCCTCACCAGTCAACAGCTGCTCCACCTCTGAAACTAGCAGTGTACGGCTATGGTCTGGTCCAGTGTCTGGTCTCAGCCTTTAATTGCAGAGGATGAATTGACACCTTCGGAAGGTATTGTGGATCAAAGTTCATCCGCGCTTGTCAAACGAGTTTTTTTATCGAACTGAATGTTTTGCCGAGCTCCTGGTTGAATCGACCATCTGCAATCCTAACAGTGAAGCAGTGAAGCATAGTGAAGCTCTCCGCCGAGCATGTACCCCTAGCATGGACACAGTGTGGCTTGGAGGCAGCCGTTCTTCATGCTTCCGGGCGCACAGACACCGCAGAAGCCTGGTGTTACAAGTTGCAGCAGTCCAAGCAGACAGAGGGCCTTCTACTATATAGACTCATAGACCATCTGAGTGTGCTTTGCCGGTCTTGGACTGTTGTGCAGTTGGCGTTGATGGTTCCTCAATTTTCAAGCCGCCGCCCATGCCTGACGTGACCACTCTCGCAGACAACGTTCTTGCTTCCGCGAGTGTGGTAAGCGCTTGAAGGAATACATGAAATGTATTGTGCATCTCTGGCCAGAACTCGTTCACTTGTAGGCGTTCTTCAGTGAGGCAATATTTGATGAGCGGGATGGGCCCTAGAGATAAAAGGCAGTTATGCAGACAAGATGCCGATCTGCTCTGTACAGGGTGTTGTGCGGTGTTGATTGGTCTTGTGGGTGTTGCTATGGAGGCAGGGAGCCTGTTGCCAGCTTGAAAAACCGCACATGCCAACTCGGGGAACCTAGCCGTAGCGACCATCTCGTCGGAGAAGAGAAGAGAAAAGCGTTTTTCTCGACATGAGACGTAGAGAATGCGAACTGCCACTCGAGTTCAAGTGATTTTGGATTCTGGCTTTGGTCGCCTGCCAGGCTTGGTCACCTCCGCCTACAGTCGCCCGGCGCCTCCCACGGAGCCTCCACCCATGCCACCATCTGGAGCGCTACATGGCAGCACTTTTTCTGTTAAGATTTTTGCTGCCATGCCCTGTTTTCGGTACCGCCTCGACATGCTGGCGGCCGAGGCCACCGCTGCCGGGTGTGAGCTTCGGGCTGGGGCAACTGGGCCCAAGCATGGGGCCTGTGCCCAACCGCGGCTCGGCGCTCAGACCGCTCCCATGTTCACTGCTCGGCTCTTTGTGCTTTGCCTGTGCGATCCTGCCTAGACGCAGGTTTGGCACCACAACCTGTAGGTGGCCGCCAGCCGTGCGGCTGCCAGGCGCGGTCAAAACCGACGCTTCCTGGGCCAGTTTTGCCTCCAGTGAATCGCGAGGCCATTGGTGCGGGAGCTATTGGTGCGGGACCCATCGGTGCAGGAACCATTGGAGGGGCGATCGCTCCGCCAATGGCACCGTCGCCGCCTGACTGGGGACTGCCTCGCCAGGACCTTCACCAAATGCAACAACAGCAACGTTTTCCCGCACAAATGCAACCTCAAGCCCCACAAGCTCCGCAAGCTCCACAAGCTCCACAAGCTCCAGCTGCCGCCCCACAACCCCCACAATCCCCCCAAGCCCCACAAGCCCCAGCGGTGCAGCCTCAAGCATTCCAGCCCAAGGCTGTCGGACGCCCGGTGGTGCCTCCAGACACCGTAACGTCGCAAGAGCGACCTGCGCCTGAGGTGCCGCGTCGCGAGTCTCGTGAGGTGCAACCACCGGAGCCAGCCCGTGAGGCAGCATCCGAGCCCCAGCCTTCGCGTGATGTGCGTGATGGCCCAACCCGTGACCGAGACACCCGCGCTCCAGTCGGAGCTTCGACAGGCCCGACGCTGGAGCGCAAAGGAAGCGCCGGGGGAAAGTATGTCCCGCCTGGCTCAGGGGACCGCCCTGCGCCCCCGCCCCGCCCACAAGCCGACTCCAAACCTGTGGAGAAACGATTCGAAGCCTCCGCAATCGAGCGCCGCAGGCACAGCCGTGAGCTCAGATAGCTCAGCAGAGCGTCTGCCAGGTTTTGCATAGGTTTTGGGGGCGCAGATGCCTTTTGGCGCAAAGCCGCACCAACCACCACGAAAGCCTCAAGACCCAGAGACCAAAAGCACTCCCCTGCCAAGGCGTGGATGCTTGGGAGGAGTCAGGCGGCCCCATTCGGGCAAAACCGGCGCCGTCACACTCCACAGGCCTTCTGCGCACGTCGATGAACTGAGTAAATCTGTACATGGACCTCCGTCCCGTGTGTCTCGAGGCCCTTCGACTTCTGACGACAAGGAGCACCGAGTTTGAAGGGAGCGACTTCTGCACTCTCAGCTTCAGTTTGTGTACGGAGGTGATTTGCCCAGAGCCCTAGGGCCCTTCTCCGCTCTTCGTTCTGACTCGTATAGAACCTCACCTCACCCATCACCTTGACTGAAGGTGTGCTGGTGTATACATGTGCACATGTAAACAAGCATACATACGTAAATGCAGCCATATGCCCATGCAGCCATACGCCATACATCCATACATTCATGCATGCATGCATGCATCCATCCATCCATTTAGCCAGCCATCCATCCATCCAGCCATACATCCACCCATGCATGCCTACACACGTATACATGTTTCCTCGCATGTCTGCATTCAAACACCCACATAAATGCATACACACATACATACATACATACATACATACATACATACATACATACCTACGTACCTACGTACCTACGTACGTACGTACGTACATACACACACACAGACACACACACACACACACATATATATATATATATATATAAATTGGCTGAATCCAAGAGCTTGTTAGGCAGGGATTGTGGAAAACTTACAATTGCCTCCCCGGAAATTCAGGCAATATTCAGATGTTCGAATATCCGTA